GGAAGAGAGAATGAAAAAAAAAGGAAGAACGGACGATCTCGTTGACACGGTTAAGAGCGGCGGTACGCCGAGAGATAAAGCTGGCGATTTTCAACGCGCGCCCCTCTGTATAAAGTGGCGACGGGGCCGCTCTCTCGGCAGGCCGCCTATATCGACTTTTCGGCAACCGCCTAAGCCTTGTTTATTTCGACTCCCGGCCAGGAAAAATAAATTTCGGACTCCTCCTCCACCTCCTCCTCCCTCTGGACGCACCACGAATCCGTTTCCGCGATTTCCGCGCGGAATTAAAGCGCAACTTCGACGCCATCGTTTACGAGGCCATCCATCAGAGCGGCACGAACCGCGATACGACCGTTCCAAAGTTACGTGTGCCGTGCAATCGCTATGTCTTTATTCTTTTTTTTTTTTTTATTTTTGCTGCGTGCATCTGTGTGTGCTTCTCGTTGACCCCGCCGGGCAATGGTCATATCCGGTCCGGACGAAAAAAACAGCGGGCTCGCTCCAACGATCGATTTCCCTCGGTTTCTTTTTTTTCTTTTTTTTTTTTTTTTCTTTCTTTTCTTTTTCGATTTCTATTTCATCCTTGTTTTGTTCGGCCGAGGACGACTGTTAGCTCCCCGAGTAAGACACGAACTCGGGTGGTTTTCGAACGATGTGGATGCAAAGCTGATTGGCTGGTGGGGGTGGCAGGTGAAAAAGAGGAGCAGCACAAGAGGAAGAGTATTTGCAGGAATGGGAGGTTGGTTTTGGGTTGATTGGATTGGCTAGGAAGAGTGATTGAACTCTTTTTTTTTTCTCTCTCTCTCTTTCCGCGATGAAAGAAAGATTTCCTTCTCTTTTTGATTTCCTTTTCCCTTTCTTTCGAAGAGGGTGAGTAGATTGATAGAAGATGCCTGAGATGTAATTTTTAGATAATGTGGATAGAGGCATTACGCGTAGAAAATTTAATAAAATTCACACGTTCTCTCACGTATGTAACCATGTGTATACTTATGTTCCAGTGTTACCTGTAGTTGTAAAACTTTTTACATCATAAATAGAATTATTTGTCATGTAAAATAAAATTGTATCGTAAATAAAATTATTTGTTACGTAAGATAAAATTATGTGATAAATAGAATTGTTTATTACGTAAAATTGTTTTTTTTTTTTCATAAAACAATGCTGTCTTGCGGTAAGATATTACTGAGTAGTATGATATTATTTAGTAATTACAAAGATTTGCAACGATTAAAATAGCCCGCGTATATTAATAATTATATTAATAATTCTGAAGTGAAATTATTTAGAGAAATCTAGATTACTTTCTCCCAACCATTAAATTGTTCCAAAAGTTCCTTTCGTTTCATTAATGAACAATCTATGCAGAATACTTTACGTTTTACATCACGTTATTGAATTATGTACGATCCACTCTCGTTTATTAACTTCCTCCATCTTTCCGGAAGATTCATCTTCCCAAAACTTCTGAGATTCGCCAGCAAAATATCGTTCGAGATGCATTCTCGTGTCGTTTATCCAAACAAATTTTTTCGCCGCAGAGGTTTCATTTTTTACTACTTAAAGGCAGTAATCAGGCAGGGAATATGAAGATAAAACATCCTTCATAATTATTATCCACACTTTTCGTTTGAAAATTTCTTCCGAGATTCAGTAAATGATACAAAAATGCATCTCCAACGATATTTTGCTAACAAACTTTAGAAATTTTTCTGTACTTTTATTATCAATTATTTATACCTTTAAAATTCGTTTAAAAATTCTTCCGGTGGCTCAATAAATGACACAAAAATGCATCTCCAAGGACATTTCGCTAGAAAATTCTAGAAATTTTTATCTATACCTCCATTATTATTATTATTTATATTCTTAAAATTCGTTTAAAAAGTCTTCCGGTGGCTCAATAAATGACACAAAAATGCATCTCCAACGATATTTCGCTAGAAAATTTGATCTGCATTTTTATTATTATTATCTATAATATTTATTATCTATAATCTATATATATTTTAATCATTATTTATACTTTTATAAATTTGTTTAAAGATTCTTTCGGTGTCTCAATAAATGGCACAAAAATGCATTTCCAACGATATTTCGCTAGAAAATTCTAGAAATTTTGATCTGTACTTTTATTATTATCATCTATAATATTATCTATAATCTATATATATTTTAATTATTATCTATACCTTTATAAATTCGTTTAAAGATTCTTTCAGTGTCTCAATAAATGGCAGAAAAATGCATTTCCAACGATATTTCGTTAGAAAATTCTAGAAATTTTAATCTGCATTTTTATTATTATCATCTATAATATTATCTATAATCTATATATATTTTAATTATTATCTATACCTTTATAAATTCGTTTAAAGATTCTTTCAGTGTCTCAATAAATGACACAAAACTGCATCTCCAACGATATTTCGTTAAATCCTAGAAATTTCGGAGCTTCATGTTCTCTGAAGAGACAGAGGAAGATAATAGATCGTCCAGTAACATGACAACCTACCCTCAGAGAAATCCTTCCAAATCGCCCAACTATCCCCAATCGAATCCCGAAGATCAGTCTGATCTTTCTCACGAAAATACTAGAAGGAAGCTCGAGGCACCGAGGCTCGCTCCAAGCGAAAAGCTAAAGAGACTCACTTATCGCGGCACGATACGACACCGGAAGGAGAAACGAAAAAAAAAAAAAGAAGCAGAAGAAAGAAAAGGAAGAAATCGATAGGTTGAAGAGGCCCTTTTGAGACTCTCGTACACCTAATATCCGGCGTCCGCTTCACCCTCAGACGACGAGGCCACGATTCAGTTCAAGACGGTGCTAACCAACACGAGTACGCGTTCGCCAGGTGAGACACGAAGCCCGAAGACCTGCAACCCCCTCTCCGCCCCTCATTGATTACGCCCGAGTATTTCAGGGTGTAACAGATGAGACAAGGGAAGATTTGTGAGACGACGCGAGGGAGAAAGACAGGCAAACACGTGCATACATAGGCAAACTCGAGGACAGACGGAAGGATAGAGACAGATAAATAGACGTTATAGGGAGAGAGAGAGAGAGAGAGAGAGAGAGAGAGAGAGAGAGAGAGAGAGAGGTAGAGTTTACAGTGTATCTATATGCATAACGTAGCGCAATCTTGCCGGTTCACGTACAGGGTGTTCGTGATTATCCGACATCCGGAGCAAGCAATTTCTCATGGTCACTCGAGAACCGCTAGGTAATCTCGAGCCACTCTATGGTAACGTACGGCACCGCGACAAAGGGATTCCCCAAATTTCTCATCTTAAGGGGAGGGTGGGAGTGCCGAGAGTCCAGGCGATCTCTGCCCAGAGACATTGACAAACAACGAAATTCGACCACCTCGCGAGGAATTGATCGTCTTCGGTTCGATCGTGTACATGCACCCCCGGACATTTATATACCAATCTAAACTACAAACAGAGAGAAACGACACGAGAGTAACGAGGTCGCAGAATCGGCCAAAGATCGATCAAAGTTTGCAAAGTATAGCGACACGTGCACTGGCAATTGATTTTCAAACCTACACATACCACAAAATACCAAAGTGTTGCCATTGCGCTCGGCCATCTCCATATTGAACTTGGAAGCGAGCAAATAAGAACGAACGGAACGGGATGAAACGCGGATCGGCGGGACGCGGGCTCGTATGTATGATTGAACGAACGAACGAACGAACGAACGAAATCCGTTTGCCGAGAACGTCGACAATCCTGGACAGGCTGGCACGCGATCGATATCGCGAGACATCGAGTGAAATCTCGCCGCATTTTCCTGGGCGAAAACCCGATGACGCCAGACATACCAGAGAAATTGTAACGGCCGGACAACGTAAAAAAACGCCGATTGCGTCAATGCGCGTTCGTATGTCCGTGGAATAAACGAATAAACACGTGGAAGAGGCCACGGAGCTCAGTAAACGTCATCGCGCACGTTGAAACATGGATGCATCGACTTCTAGGTTTCAGGAAACCTGCCACCACGCTACCGATTCTTCTGTATTCACGTGTGGACGTTAACGTTGAAACACGCGCTTCGACCACTTGCGCTCGGCAACTGATTGCGGACCATAACGAGTGACCAAACGGTCATACAATAAACCCCTTGTGGTGGAATGACGTGCCACGCACGTGGAGAATTTTTTTGTCAGAATTACAATATTTCCTCAGTTTTAGTTATAATAATAATATTTCATTTATAATAATAATATAAATATTTATTCTAATGTAATAATTTATATTACATTATAATAAATATTTATATTATTATTATAAATAAACTTAAAACTGAGAAATTCAATTTATTAAAACTATTGCAATTCAATTTATTATAATATAATATAATACAAATATTTAAGTATAGTTATTTAATTTATTATATTTAAGGTACGGTTTGGGCACTCGTTATGGTCCGCAATCAGTTGCCGAGCGCAAGTGGTTAAAACGTCGAAGCGTCCTCCTCCAGCTCCAATCTTACTGTTAGTAATATTATGGTATATAGTAATTACCTCTATATAGAACTAATATCTAGTATATAATATATAGTATATAGTATTAATATCTACTATGTAATTATACTATGTAATAAATATATTTATAATATATTAATAATATAATATAAATATTTATATTATAACGTTATAAATAAGTATAGTAAATAACTTCAATTGCGTACGGTTTGGTCACTCGTTATGGTCCGCAATCAGTTGCCGAGCGCAAGTGGTTAAAACGTCGAAGCGTCCTCCTCCAGCTCCAATCTTACTGTTAGTAATATTATGGTATATAGTAATTACCTCTATATAGAACTAATATCTACTATATAATTATACTACGTAATTTGTATTTAATAATATAATATAACTTATAATATTACTAATATCACTAGCATATATTACTAATATGTTAGTAATTCGCCGATTGCGAAGGCGACCTTAATGCATCATCGCGTCGGCAGCCTTCTAGTTACATAACGATCTCGCGGTCTGCTTTGTCGATCACCGCGGGAAACGTATACTTTCCACGCGATCGAGTCCCGAGGAGTCGCGCGACTCTCCCAGCGCCTTTCAGTTCGATTGCCACAGCTCAGCCGTGTGAGCAGCGATCGTCACGGAATTTCGTTCGGTGGCCAATCGGCGAAGCTATCGATCAGATCGAGGAGAATCGTTTGATCGTGGATAAATCGAGGTTTGGCGAGCAGGTGCGACGAAAGTTCGAAGGCAGTAGGGTAATAATAATTGAAATAAATAGGGAAATAATTGAATTTTTATCATCGACATTCGATATTTCGCGTTCTTTTTTTTTCTTTTTATTTTTAGGTACAGTAAAACCGTGTACCATTGTTTTTCTTTAACGCATGATGCTCGACAAATTTCAGAGCAAGCTACATCTCGTCCTCCGTGGAGGCAGAGTTAAAAATTTCGGCTCGAAGAGTTTCGATGTTTCAATGCGAGTGAAGTGACTGTTTTCACATGCAGGAATCCATTCAGACCCGTGTGATGTTTGTATTCTATGGTCCTTATAGAGTATTTTCGTGTTTTTTTTTTTTTTTCATATTTTTTTGTCTCATACTAAAGTACAAATATTTAACGTTTAGTAGATTAATATGCTACGGGGCAGAGCAGGATACAATGCACTGTGTGTTACGAATGAGCACGTGTGACGTGTACGAGCGTTGAAGAGGCCGATGAATATTTCATTTGCGATTTTTTGTTCTGTTAATTCAGACATATACGTGTTAAAATGATTCAATACGTCGAGAAGTTCCCAAACTAGTAATTAACATAATTTATAAGACAAACCAAATAGAGTAATTTTATATTTCTTGAAATTGTTTTTTACTATTTTTTAGCTAATAAAAATAAAAATTTTATAACTGTATTGCATTTCATACAACTTTTAAAAGGTACCCAATGTTACCCATCCCTATGGGACAACAATCAAATATTTGTATACCTCCAGAAAATTTTATTCTCCTAAAGTTTTTTACAACTTCATCCAAAATTGTCATTTTTTTCATTGTACAAGGTCCAATTAAGACAACAATCAAATATTTGTATACCTCGAGAAAATTTTATTCTCCTAAAGTTTTTTACAATTTCATCCAAAATCGTCATTTTTTTCATTGTACAAGGTCCAATTAAGAGATCTTAGCCTTGCGCGAATTTTTCTTCCTTTGCCATCCGATTTTTTATTAGCTACAAAGCTAAATAATATATTACCCACCCCTATGGGGTAAAATCGGCTATTCGTATACCACCAGAAAATTTTATTTTCCCAAAATATTTTACAATTTTACCCAAAAAGTTTGGTCACTTTCCTATTGTACTAATTTTCTTTTTCGTCGTCCGATTGTTCATTACAAAGCTAAATATATTACTTTCACCTACCAATTTCGCTGCGACGAGACAAATCGAGAACCGATCGAGCGCTATCGATACCCGGACCATCCTTCGAAAGGATTCAAATTTCACGCGATTAGAATATCGCTCTAATCCGAACGCGAGATCCATTTCCACGCTTTCGCTTTACGATTATTAATCACGGGCGGAATCGGTGAACGAGAACGCTATACCACGCGAATACCACGTACGAGTAAACACAATCGCTTGACGTACGAGAAAAATGATCGACCTCTGGCATCTATTCTGTCTCCCACGACACGGCGATATAATAACGTCATTACGCAATATCGGTGGACGTAAATACCAAGCTTGCCATTATATCGGTATAATAACCACGAAACAGCCGCGTCGGACGGCGGTCTCGCGTCAAGGAAACACCCCTGAAATGACTCTCGACGACACACGAAAAATCCAGGATTAATATCGTCAAATAACACGTCTCTCATCCCGACCGAGCCATCATTCGCCAGCCTCACCTTCCGTGTCTCTCCTTCCTCCCGAGAGCAAAGGCGTACCCTCCTGTCCATCGGCCAAACAAATTTCGAACAACCAACGCGATAACGATCTCGTTATTTCGCCCGTGGTCACCCGGTAGAAAAAGGTCGAGGACAGCAGGTTCACCAACGCTAGAAACTATCAAAATGATCAACGAGATCAATATGTAATTTTCGTTTTGCAGATGTGAAACAGTGTATTTTTAGAGATATATTTTATACCGATTTTCTTGTTTGTTAATCACTTTTTTCTCGAGAAGGAGGTACCCTCGGCTTTCTTACTACGCGATCATGTAGAATCATCTTCAAAAAAAAAAACTCTGTTACGAAGAAGTACTTCAAATTCTGCGGTTTTTCAGAATTTACAAGAAAAGCGCGTTCTCGCACGAAAAGAACGGAATTGTCAAAGTTAGAAGCTGCGGAGCTTCGACATTAGACAAAATTAAATTCACAAAATTTTAAAGTTTTATATATATAAAATATCGCTTATATATATATATATATAACATCGCAATATTTGGCTAATGTGCGTGGAAAGCAGTGGAAAATTACTGATGATTATATTATATATAAACATGTAATATTAGATTTATATTATATATAAATATATAAATATATGATGATTCATATTATATATAAATATAGAAATATATGACTTATACTATATATAAATATATAAATATATGATGATTCATATTATATATAAATATAGAAATATATGACTTATACTATATATAAATATATAAATATATGATGATTCATATTATATATAAATATAGAAATATATGACTTATACTATATATAAATATATAAATATATGATTTATATTATATATAAATATATGATTTATATTATATATAAATATATGATTTATACTATATATAAATATATAAATATATGATTTATATTATATATAAATATATAAATATATGATGATTTACATTATATATAAATATAGAAATATATGATTTATACTATATATAAATATATAAATATATGATTTATATTATATGTAAATATATAAATATATGATGATTTATATTATATATAAATGTATAAATATATGATGATTTATATTATATAATTTTTATATTTATTTTATTTTAATTTTATATTATATCTAAATTTATGTTATATAATATATATCACATTATATATATTATATAATATATCATAGATTTTAATAAATATGTTCACAACTCTTCGCCGTACAAACAGAATTGTTCAAGCCTGTTAGATACAGCAAGCCATCGCTAGCAGGGGGCCCTCACGGATGCAGAGAAAAGAGAGGGGGAAATGGACGAGAAGGGGCATCACGAGACTTTGTCGTGGTCGGGGAGGGGGGAGGGGGGCCTTTAGAATCGAGTCCCACGCGTTCCCAGACATTCCAGCTAGTAATTGCTGGTTGCCGCCTCCTATCTTGCCGACGTTCGCTCGCTTCTGAGCCAGTCTCTCTCCCTCTCACTCTCTCTCTTTCTCTCTTTATACCCCTTTTTCTCAGTCTCTTCCCTCGTTCCATCCTTCATCCCAACAACGCGGTCTTCTTTCTCTCCTCGTAACACGGCTGCCCTCTGCTCTCTACGGCGTTGCCCTTTCCCTCGCGCGATTCTTTGCATCGTGATGCTGCCCCGTTGCTCGTTAACTGGCCTCCGGACTCGAGGAACCCCTCTCTCTCTCTCTCTCTCTTTCTACGTTAACTGTATGTCCGAGAGACTTCCTCCTCGAGGAACGTCCACGTTCGAACGCGCCGATATACGTGTCGCGGATATCGAAACGCATTATCGAAAGTCGAAGCTACAAATTCGCCTGTAAATAACGAATGAAATTCGCGAGAACCCGGGCGTTTCTTGCTCTCGGTCGTCATCGGTTCGAGCATGTTTTGCTTTGAATTTCCGTGTTATCGGTTAGATTGGAAATCCGGGCGATGTTTGACGAGAAAAATCAAAATTTCTCATTCTGACATTTTTTTTTTTTTTTTTTTTTTTAATATTCGATTATTCCTAAATGTCCATGAACCTCGAGAAAATGAAAAAATTAATAATATAATAATAATAATTTTAATACAATAATATTATAATAATAATAATAATTTTAGTTTACAACAGACACATAACAGTCAGACATTTTAGAAATCTCTAAATTTTAAAATAATAATATGATAATAATAACATAACGATATAATTTTAACATAGCAATATAACAATAATAATAATAATTTTAGTTAAAACAGACACATAAAATTAAACATTTCAGAAATCTCTAAATTTTGATATAATAATATAATAATAATAATACAACACTATAATTTTAATATAGCAATATAACAATAATAATAATTTTAATATAATAATATTATAATAATAATAATAATTTTAGTTACAACAGACACATAAAGTTAGACATTTTAGAAATCTCTAAATTTTAATATAATAATATAATTATAATAATTTCAATACAATAATATGACAATAATAATAATTCTAATATAACAATAATAATAATTTTAGTTAAAGCAGACACATGAAGTTAGACATCTACTTTGAGAGATGTTCGGTCAACTATGTTTAATTTTCTATCCTACGAATTTTTTTCCACGATAAAATGTAGTATTTGTCAATGAGAAATCATTGCTACCCATTGCGTAATGTGTTTTTAAAAAATCGTGGACGTCGTTTCTATCTGGCGAGCGTGTCGCGCCGTATTTCTGGAGCCGGCGATTCGGACTCGAGATATCTCCACGTTAACGACGATTCGCCTGCCTCGTAAACTTCTCTAATTAGGGGAAACTAAGCGCGGAGGACGATTTGAATTTTCATGCTTTCCGTGCTTCGCCATTGGAGTATTTTTTCTTTTCTTATTTAAACACCGCCAAGCTGTTGTAAATATACGGAGGATTCAGGCCGATTTATCGCCGTGTCTTTCACTCGTTTGGATCGCTGGATCTTCAGATTTACAACGTGTGACACTGATTAATAACACATTCAACCCATACGTTTTCAATTATTACATTCTTCGAAGCATAATTCAAACCGAACGTGAAGTATTGTTTTAATCTCCTTTCTAGTTTCGAAATATGTTTCGTAATTTCTTCTATTTGTGTAACAATTTAATTTTATTGACTTCATCTTTATCATTAATAGGAGCAATAGCAATGTTACTGTTTGATCGAAATTTTAATACATCTTTCTTTTTCTTTTCATCCGGTGGGGAAAGAATTTTTCAGATAAAGAGACTAAATACAATAATTTCATTAATTTAAAAAAATTTTAAAAGAAGTTCAACTGTAGGAGACTAAACAATAATTTGTTTAATTTAAACAATAATTTCATTAATTTAAAAAAATTCTAAACCTAACCCAAACATAACCTAAAACGTGCCGACGACCAGTTTAAAAATTTGATTTAAAATTCTGCATTCTCTCGCGAAAAAATAATAAAAAATCCAATTTCTTCTTTTACTGTCCAAAATTCCTTTTTTCTCTGTTTGATTTCTTCATTGCTCTTTTTTTCCTCTGTGCGCTGTTTCCTTTGTGCATTAAATCGACAATTATTCGTGTATTCCGACCGATAGGTGTGTGCAAAGTTGTAGTAACAGTACGTTTGATGTTAATAAATATTTCAAAATTCCTGTATTTTTACAAATTTGACTCGACGAACTTGTAAAGCATGGTGAAACGTTCGATTTCTCCACATTTTGCGGGCGACCTCGTAAACGATGATAAATCTCGGGCGTTCGGTCGTTTAGATCCGAGCGAAACAAGAGGCGCAACAATGTAATAACAGGTGTAATGCGCTAATTCTCGAAGCCTTCGTGACCCCCGTTCGTCTAATTTGCATCGCAACAAGGATATGCATTCTCATTATCACCTATTTAGGGAAGATCCTCCTTTACGGAAACGGTTCCTCA